TCGGCGCTGCCTCCTCGCGCAGCCTCCTCCCTTCTGCTGCTCTCCCGCTCGGCCCCATCACGTGCGAGCCTTGTACGTTGCTTTTATTTGAGGCGTTGCACCCCTGCCAGCCCGATGTACCTCTTCTCTTCCCAAACAGTGCTGCGCCAAGGCAGCCACCACAAGCAACCAGCACCCTGGGGGAGACGCACAGAAGGGGGGTTTATTACTTTTGGAAGAGTTGCTTTCATTGCAGCGTAGAGTTTGGCCTCACCACTGACTGAGATAACAGCCCTTAACGCTTGAACCAAAGATTGGAATAGTCGCGGGAGGTTATTTCCACTGTTTCAAGCTACACATAAGAATATGTCGTAGGATAAATTAAAAAAGATAAGGTCTCTCTCTTGAGTCTCTGCACAGATGCTGGCATAGGTACAACCCAGGTCTGTTACAACTCCCAGGAGATCTCAGGAGTTTTGGGGATGCTACTTCTCTTACATTTGTTTGCAAGTCCAAATAGAAATCTCAGTGCTCTGAAATCTGCCCATCTGCCCAACCACTAAACAAAGTTTCAGTGCCATGAGATGCAAAAGGACATTCTTCTAGAGCTACTGCCAAATGAAAGCTTACATCAGTATCATGAGATGCGTTGACACTCGGTAGATGACACAAGCCAGGGCTTTCTGCCACCTTTCTGCTTAGGCTGTTTTATTCTACATAGCTTCTTACACAACCCTGGTCTGAGCTCCTCGCTGAAGACCCATTCACAGCACTTTCTCCAGCACTCCCCACTGTGCCCGCAGCTCCTGCTGCACCGGGTGCTCTCCACAGGACTCGTGCTCCTGCAAGGGCAAGTGAGCTCTCTCTCCACCAGATCCATGACTCGGCTCCTTGCAGGCTCATCCTGCTGTTTGCCTTCCCTCACTCCTGTCTCCTCCTGCTGTCTAGGAAGCCAGTTATTTCCCCTAGGTAGTTTATATCCAAGGAGGAGTGCATTTACAGCTCTGAAAAAACAAACAGAAAACCCTGATCTGATTGTTCATCACCTCGGCGCAGCTTGCTTACATCTCAAAGCCAACATGAAGCCACGGCTTGCACCATGCTGCCACTGCGCCTGCTCGAGTGCCGGGATCTGACACTCCAGCCACCACACAGTCCCACAGCCGCTCTGGCCAACCTCGCCTGCACCCACCTGCCTGCCCAAACCCACGAGCGCTGCCTCGCACCCGATATACTCATCATCCAGGTCACCTCATCCCCTGCACACCAGTACAGCTGCGCTCCTGCTCCTCGTCCCTATCATGCTAGAACTCAGAGTCAAAAAGCACAGCTCACAGATCTTCAGCCCTCAGCTTATGTATCGCAGTGTGGCTTCAAGACTCTGGAATGCAGTTCTCTCTGCTGAAAATATCAATACACACAATCACGGTTTGGCTTTTGCTCAGCTATCACTGCTTTGCACTATGTATTCATTCAATCTTGCTAGCAAAGCCTGGATCTAAACGCAATTAAGTATTAATTGCCTAATGCCTGCAAAGCCTTTCTAAGATGGAAAGCAAGTTAGGTATGTAACAAGTTAATATATGCTCTTATGTATTCATGTTTTATGATGGCAATTTTTTAGATAATTTAGTTTAATACTGAACTATTCTCTGAATTTCTGTTTTCCTCTAGGAATATTTTTAAAGAAATCTTAATGCAAATCCAGTCTTGTTCAATACAAACATCTGGAACGTATTCAGTGCAATTTCAGCGATCTCATTTCCCATGCTACTAATGAGTAACGTGTGTGCTGTTTTAATAAAGTGGCAGAAACAGGGAAGGAAGATGGGAAGCGGTAGAATACCACAACCCAAGACCCACTCACGAGTAAGATACTTTATTCAAATATAGGCTAATACACTTTCTGATATATTCCATGGGGGCTCCTACATTGCTGTCAACAGAAAAGCGTGACCAACTCCTGCAAATTGACTGCAGCTGCACTGCAGGCTCCACAGCGCGGTCATGGGGCTCCCGCAACGCCACGCAAGAGGCCACCCACCCCACTGAGAGCTCTAACACTCCTTAGGAGGGCAGATATATTCTAATAGTTTTTAGAATGAGGGAATGACAAATCTAGTCATTTTACATAATAAAAATATTTAAAAAACAGACTGGAAAAACACCAGGGATCTCTGTACTGTCACATATGAAATAATATAAATCATCAGCACTGCAGATCCTCCTAGAATTCATCATTTACAATACCGGAAAAGCAAGTCTCGGAGAGGGCTAACTATCAAAGCAGAGATTTCATGATGCCCAAATGACAGGCTTTTGCAAAAGTTACTTTGAAGGTTAACTTAAGGGCATTTCTTTTTAAATTAACCAGCAACAATGAGGGCTGGAAGTAGGAAGCGCAGTCCATCATGGAAATGATGGAGCGTTTCCACCACTGTCACCACTACCCAGCAGCTGGGTTGTCCCAGGCTCTTCCTGGATTATGTGCTTTACCTGTGAATAAATGTGACTTCCACAAGTAAAACATATAGGAGAGACAACGTTTAAAGAAAGATTTGCCCTCTGGACATTTACTTTGTTGCTTTGGATACTGGACGGTAGGAAAAACATGGTAAAAAATAACTGTCCGGAGTGAGTTTTATACTTGTCTAAATCTACTGATGATTTCATGTTGTAACTCTGCTTGGCTGTGGTGAGGATCAGGGCATTATGGTTTTCTTATTCTATACAACTGGCAACAGCAATTCTAATGAAGCATAGCTCATTCATTTATTCAAATTGAAAGCACTGCCTGCTTAGGAAGGGCATTTTAACTTCTCCTGGGTTTCTTAAGTACTAACGTTTACTAAATAGCATTAGGAGGAACTCTTTGATATCCAAATTCAGCAGTTTTGGATACTACCCATATCCAGCAGAGAACACTCAATTTCATAACACAGCAGCCTATCTGACTTACCCTGGGAAGCTATAGCTTTTGGAGACAAGCAGATAACTTAAAGAAACTTCAGTAAATGGGTAAACAGGCAAAAAAAAAGAGGAAACAGGAAGAAGGTGATAAGAAATTTGGAGCAGTAGAACTTTAGAACTCTTTTCATAATACACCACAAACAGTTACTTACCTATTTATTTTACTATTGCTACTACAAAATAAGTCTTGCAAGCTTTTCCTTGTGCAACTACAGATTGCATGGAAAGACAGCAGATGCCTCCCTTGAAGAGGGCCACTCACATACACTAGGAATTCCTCAGGAAAAGCTTTTTTTCAAACTTACTATCATTTGTTGAGCATTCAGTTGAGA